TATATATATATATATATATATATAAATATCCATCTATATAAATACCCATGTAAAAACCCTGTGCAGAAACCCTGTATAATGATACTAATGTAAAAAAAAAAAAAAAGTTGTCATATGTGGATGTACTGTATATACTGTATATATCCCATGCATGCACCCTTTTCTCCCTTTGGCACATTCTTCTTCTCCTTTGACTATTTCAGCTCATGTAACGAGTAAATTTCTTCAGTGTGAGATCAATAAAGTCAATCGACCAATCAAAATATATAAAATGTATATTTAAAGTGCTTGGTTTCTCCCATCAGGGACACTGTGGTGTTTTGCATTTATTCTTAATTAATTATAAATATTATTATTAATTATAGCTCAACTAACTCAATATTTTATTTGTACTATACTTTCATTTTCAGATGGCAATTGTAAAATTTTCATCCAAAAACTGTGTTGTATAAACTTTGTCTCATAGCTCATGTGCCAATGTGTGTTGGTCTGTCTGATACAATCCATGTAGGGTCTATTGAATTACAAGGTTGTTACATCACAAAATGGGAAAAAGTTGGTTTTATATTTTGCAAGGCTCTGCATCCAGCCACCTCCACCTGCTGCAGGCTGAAGGCAGGGATGTGAAAAGACACTGCAGTTGCTTTGTGCACAACAGCACTTGTTTTAAGATGCGCCGGAGTGAGACAAGAGCCCAGCTGCTGAGTGTAAGTCCTTGATTACAAAGCCAGTTTAAGTGCTTTCTTTTGACTGACCATTGTCTTTTTCTAAAACGACAAATTGTTCAAGCATCCTCCATGTCAAGTGGCGGGACCCTGTAACCCAGGCAACAGGAACGGCGCTATTTTAAGCAATGGGCTCCATGCCACCCCTTGAGGAGCCATAGCTTCATGGCCACTTTCAGAAGGGTAGCATTTATCTGCGAAGTGTCTGGCTTCTGCCTAAATATTTTTGAGATATGTAATTAGAAAAAATTAAACAATTGGATTATTTAAAACCGCAGGGAAAAAAGTTAAGACCCTGATAATGAGTGGTTGGTCATAAAGTTGAAATACAAATGTTTGTGTCCTTTAGCTTTTAGCAGTGTGTGCTTGCCTAGTCATCAAAAGCTGCAAAAAAGCAAAAGCCCAAGGACTGAAATGCCACAACATGTGAATGGGGATGTGCCCTTTGACGCGTTAGTACCCCAAACAGCACAACACGTTTGAGGACATTAATGTCAACAATGCTTTAAAAGCAGCAGAATCAACATTTCGCAAAAAAAAAAAAAGTGTTTATCTATAGACACAGAGAAATAAGAGGAAAAAAATGTATTTCTATTTACATTTTACTCCTCCCTATTCTGAGGTCAGAGAGTAGATTTAACCAGAGAGACCCCTCTGGAGTTGGCAGGAAGTCCATGTGAAGCTCAAGGACTCTTAAATGGAGAATATGAAAGACGAGAGAACGACCTCATCTTCCAACTAATCTCTGTGCCGTTTTAAACGCAAACTATTCAACACCTACTTTTAAGTCTTGTCCATATGCAGATGAGAACACTTCCTTGGTGTTCGTTAGAAAACCCTCATCTGAATGCATAAAGCTCATGTGTCAAAGCTTTATTTGGAGCTCATGTTAAAAGTATTTGTACGCTTAAGTATAAATAAATGAAAAAAAAAAAAAAAACAGTTAATCACTCCGAGTCACACTTTCATTGAGACTGCTGCAACCAGCTGAGAGAGGTCAGGCTACCCCATCACGCGAACAAACAGACATGCCAACGGCGTCTGTTTACAATGAGCAACAACCTCCCCGAGGGGGCATAAAAGGTACAAAACAAGAGCAGCAAGCCAGGCAGAAATGACAATACTGCCTAATGGCTGCAATGACTTCTCTGGAGCTGAATGTGTAAAACCGATGAGGACAGAGTAGGAAAGGGTGATATTATGCTCTTTTCTGGCTGTAAAAGTACAATAAATATATTTTTCCCACTACAGAAAAAAAAGCTTATGTAGCTTTAATCAGTCAATTTGTTTAGGAGCATTTTGTGCACATTGAAACTGTTAAAAAGCAGGACAAATTAATATTAGGCAAAAAAAAAAAATCTAATTCAGTTTCAGTTAGCCTTTTAAATTCCGTCCCACAGAATGACTTGTGCACCTTAAATATTTTCACATTTATACATGTCATGGCTATGTGATAGAACAACACAGACCAGTGCATATAAGGGAAGTAGATTGAAATGTTTAAAATAAAATAAAAATGTAAATGCAAAGTGCAGGCTGTGGGGATCAACCCAGGTACTTGCAACCTTCTCAGAGCACAAGTGCACTGCTCAGTACTTTTGAACTTCTATTTCAAAAGTATATAGAAAATGTACATTTCGATTCTAATATTCCAAAACAACATCTATTACCTGATTATTAAGTAGATCAAAAATGCACTTTTTCACCTAATAATTTTTAGACTTTGTTTGGCAAAATCCAATCTAATCCAATTTTATTTGTAAGCACTTAAAAAACAGCCACAGCTCACCAAAATGCTGTACAGAATAAAATAAATTAAATAAAACATGAAAAGTACAGGTTAAAAAACACCGGAAACGAGAGAAAAAAACATTTGCACAGCCAAAACAGTAAAATTGGGTAAAAGATGAAAACGATAAAAAAATAAAATAAAGCCTACTGTCCTATTAGATGTTAAAAGCCAAAGAGAAAAGGTGGATTTTGACAAGAGATTTAAAAACAATTAGCGAAGAGGCCTGTCTAATGTTCTGAGGCAGGTCATTCCAGAGCTTTAAAGCTGCAAAGGCAAAAGAACTAACAGTGCATATCTACATGAAATCAACATCCAAAAGTTATGCCTAACAGTGGCTGCATGATTTGTAATTAATAGGAAATCTGGAAAGAGATGATTTGAATGGTGCTTGATAAAAAGGCAATCGAAGGAAAGACAAACAGTATTTCGATGAGAGGTCCCAGAAAAGATGAATTACACTGAACTTTACTGAGAAGTTAGGAAAGGGTGTTATTTCTTTTGTAGAGAGCAGTTTTAATGCTGACCTGTGTTTATGACATGTCTTTAAAAGTTCTGTGTGTGTGTTTACTGTACTTACGGGTGCCATCAAAGCGTGTGGCAATGTTGTCCAAAAATGTGTTCTGCGGGGCCAGGAGGCCCTTCATCACAGGCATCTTCACCCAGATGTGGGGCAGCCAGCAGCTGGCTGGACGTCACACCATCCCAGAAGCTTGGCAGGGTGGCTTTCTGTGCTGTGTCTCAGCAGGTGTAGGTGGTGCTGTGGAGGACAATCCAGTGCTGGATGTGAGGATCCATTTCTACAGTTAATGCGAGCAGCTTCGTCCCCGGTGATGTCTTCTAGTGAGACAAGAGTACATCCTGCTATAGACAATAACAGCTTAGTCAAACAATGCAGGTATTCAGGAAGTGAAGGCTGCTCAGGTAAATAAACATAAAGTCCAGGTGATGCTCAGATCCAAAGTCCCTTAGATCAGTCCGTTTCAGTCATGGAGATAAAGTTATCCCTCAAACCTGCAGCCCTTTCCGTTCATTACAGCCCCACAAATGTGTCTCTACTCCTCTATCATCCTTCAGCGCGCGAATCTGTAGGGATGCTGTGGCAGAGTAGTTGCATCTTCTTGAGCTCTCTCCCCCATCCACTCCTGTGCAAAACCAACCAATAAGAAGCAGCCCTGCTCAGTGGGGACCTGTTCTCATCGGATCAGGGAGCGAGACGAGGGAGGGAGGTGGATGGAAGGAGAGGAGGAAGATCCTTTTTTGGGAGCATCTGACAGCACCATTACACCCCACATTGCTACTATCAGTGCATGGCTATTGTGTGGTTGGACTGCAGATCAGGAAAAGATGGATTACCAGTATGTCTGTCAGTGAATGCTATTGTACCTGCTGGACTGCGAGCCATTGTGCTGCTTTGCCCCAGCAGTTCAACTAAAGGAACATCGTCATGATAGTTAAAGAATGTTACTCAGTTTATTTTTTTCTATTTTGTAGTGTGACTGTGAGACAGCAAGTGTACTATCAGGGTCCAGATAAGAGAATTAAAGCATGGGATGTACTGCGCAAAAGGAAGATTTAAAAGTGAAGCCTGGAAATGTTTCCATGAAAGCCCAATCCATAAAAACAACACATTACTTTAACACATATAACCAGTAGAATAAATACAATTCAAAAGTCCAATATTTTTTGCTTCAGACAGTTTGGTTTAAAGCTCTCATCAAGGTTTACTTAGCAGCGAAAGATGACCCCCTAAGGATAAGGTCAATTAATTTAATTGTCATTAAATATTAAATTTTGTAAGTGGCATAAGGAAACCTGATAAAGATTATTTTCAATGAAACAGAGCAGTACTGTATAGCAAGATCTTTCAAAATTCTGTCATTACAGTAAACAGGAAAAGAGAAGTAAAAAAAAAAAAAGTAAAAAATAGTTTTAAAGCAAATGATATATGAAAAGAAAACAGAAACATGAAATAAAGCAGACCACACAGGGTTACATTAGGGAAAATTAACAGCTGAGCTCACATTTATACATACCTCTAGCAGATTTAGGTCTTATTTGATCTCACAAAGGGTAATAAAATTTTTTTAAATAAGTTTCAATTTTGAAAAACAAAAGGATTGTCCTTTTTCACGGTTAGAAATTACATTTGGACACTCCTATTTATAAAAAGAAAATATGGGGAAAGTTTTTGACCATTACAATTTCAAACGTCTTACGGTTCTTGACCAGATCTTTGCATGTTTAACAGTTTCTATTTTTAATTCAATTCAATAATACTCTATTAATCCTAAAATGCAGTTTCAGACCAGCCCATCCAAAGGGGGGATGCGATGTTTGAGAATTCAATTATTTGCACGATTTTCTATTAGATGAAAGCAATCATTTGGGCCTAACTTTACATCAGATGTTCAGTCTGACCAGCAAATAGAAGTAATATTCTCATTGCATTTGGTAGTAGGTAGCACCAAATATTGCTGCATCCAATCAGCTCAGAAGGCTCTGCGAATGTTCCTCCTTCCCCTTAACAAATTTAATTGGACTACTCCTTGATTACTAAATTGCAAAACAAGACCTGAGTGCTTCAAATTATCAAGCTGGCTTGTAAGGTTAAGCCGTTTCAGTTGGATGTATACTACATTTTATAAATCTTTTTTATTTATCTGTTGAGTTATTCCAATGGAATGCTTTAGAATGACTGTAATTTTTTTTTGATCCATTTTTCAAAAATAATATTATAATACCAGTATATATAATATTTAATAAAACTGCTAAGAAAACACGGCCAACCAAAAACATGACACAGTGAAAGTAAAAAGCCAGTTTCCAGACTGTTAGGGCATCCATCTTTTAGGGATCCTGTTCGGGACTTGGCAGCAATTGCAGCTTTGTATATTTAATGATCTCTCATTGTGCTGTCAGCTTGTAGCTCATCCATCTCTCATTGTTTCTAATAAAGTGTCTAATCCATTAAATATGTTCACTATCAGCTCTGAGGTCTTGCATGACTTAGAGCTGCAAAAAAGACTTATTTGATCTGACTTTTTTAACCCACGAGACCAGCTTGTCTTAAATTGCATTAAACCATTTTGCGATGGAAAGCTTTAAAAAGCTTTTCAAATAATCAAACATGAGTCAATAAAAAACAAAAATTGGAATAGAATAGAGAATAGAAAATGTGGTGTTTACAGCAGCACAGGTTAAAGTAGAAGTGTCCACACCATGTGCACAAATAAAACAGATAGAGTAATGTACTGTACTGTGTTTTTACCATATAAATACTCTGTATAAAATGTAAAAAATCAACAACAGCTGTGGAAATTTTTTTAAATCGCAGAAACACCATAGAGATGCAAAAAGTTAAAATTACAACAGTATGTTATTTAAATGACTGAGACAGAAACTGTGCAAAAATCCATATCAATGTAAAAACTTACTGAGGTTGTTGGGAACGGTGATGGTTAAAGTCTTACAGCTGCTGGGAGGGAGGATCTGTGATAACGCTCTCTGGTGCATTTAGGGTGCAGCAGTCTGTCACTGAAAGAGCTTAAACTAACAATACAATAAACGTTCAAATGAAATAAAACAAATTGAACCTGAAAATTGTATTTTATAAACTGTATTAGATAGTAAAACTTTGGCCTTTTTAGTAAAAGAAAATTTGAAAAAGAAAAAGAATAATTCTATGTTTTATTGACTAACTGAAGCAAACCTACAGTCTGCTTTTTATTGACTAATGAGACTCTTTTCCTCAAAAGACTTCAGCTCCCGGGACATCTTAAGGGAAATACTCTTAAACCATCATTTATCCATTTGATTTCAAACCGAACTGATCAGTTAGCCAGATTTGGTTGTAATGAATTTATTTATTTTAGTTTAAGTTTTGTTTGAAGAAATGAAAACTGGTTCTATTACCACACATTCTGGCTTTTTTTTTTTTTTTTTTTATGACTTACTGGTTGTCTCTTCTAAACTTTCATGCCCAAATTAAGTATTAGAACATAAAGTTTGGCCACAAAGCCCTTATATATACCAGGAGCACTTGATGTCTGTTAACGTGAAACAGCTTTGATAACATTAAATGCAAGTTTTCTGCTTTTTGAGAAAATTTCCATTTCTCTTTGTAGAAAGAGATCCTGGAGTAAATGTTGATGTTTTTCTATTGCATTTTGGTTTATGCTATTGTACATACTAATTTGGAAATTGAAATTGTGTTTAATGATAAGTATAACTCTTTAACTCACACAAATCTCTACAGAAATTTTTCTTATTTAAATACAGGATAATCACTGTTGAAACCAGGTTTTATTTTAAAAATCTGTAATCTCCAATCTGTAATCTTTTTTTTTTTCCAAAACTGACTGCACTAAGCCAGGATGCAGATTCATTTAGTAAGGCTGCCTTTTTTCTCCTTTAAACATGCTTTCCCTCCCTCAGCACCAGGCCCATTGAGAAACCAGGCCTGTCATTCTAAGATCTTGGCTGTTTGCACTGAATTAACGAGCAAGTGAGCAGATGCTTGCACACATGCTCAAAAATGTTTCTAAGGCTGTAAATCCTCTAGGAAGCTGAGATGTCAGGCTGAAACACTTTTACATTTCAACTAGACACAAACCAGAATAAGAAACAAAAAAAAAAAAAGTATTTACCACTTATGAATATTAATCTTTTAGGTGTTGGTTAACAGCTCTTAGTGGGAATGAACTGTAAAGCATAAGTATCACTGAAGCAAAAATAAACTAAGAACAATGTCAAATCTCTGCTAAAATAGGACACTACTAAAAATATTAGCCCAGTTTATGAATACTTGCAGGAGAAAGTTTTCATGCAACAGCACACCCCAGAAACAGAGAGCTCACTCTGTTTTCAGATGAGTCTTTTATTCCCATCAAAATTGATTGAATTGAATGTAAAGGGGATATTTTTTCTATGTGAATTCTTCTCTGGATAAGGTACATTTCTAGCAGGACTATGACAGTTTAGTTGACAGCATCTAAACCACTGCTAGTTGTTCTTTTTTCTGGAATTCATCCTACAGGAACCAGAAAAGTCCTTAATGTTTGACTAGTGCCCCCAAGTGGTAGCAAAAAAAGACAGATAAGTGAACAAGGAGCTTCAGTGTGGCACAAACTATATAATCATTTTACACAACTTTATAATATCCATAGCCAGCCTGAGACTTAAGCAGCTGTTTAGGAAAAAGATAATAAAATATGTTAAGTAATTATGACTTTATGAATTAGTAATGCATATTTGGTAAAGTCCCAATTTTACATTATCAGACAAATGGCAACACCAAAATTCATAGTACCAGGCAAGCTGTTTTTATTTTCCATCCTTTCCTCATTGCACAATCATCTTTGCTGCAGAACGCTGTTATAATCCAATCGTAATGTATTAAAGGTATAGTGGAGGATGTTCTTTTTCCAGGTGGATCATCAAAATAAGTGGCCCTCCTAATTGTCAATAATTCTGGTGACCTGTTTACGTAAAGCCTTCCTATGTGTTCGTCCCCTAGTTTCACTTACCGGGGGTGAGTCTGACATAGTGGAAAAAATTGCATATCTTCTTTTGGAAGTAAGCTTGCAAGCGATGCAAACTGCAACTTTTAAACAGAGCGTGAACGAGAAGAAATAGGTTCGTGCACGCTCTCAAACATGTTTAATAGGCGTTCAGGGAGTGGATACAGGGTTGTGCATGTGCAATTTTTCATTTTTTAAAGTGGAGAGGGCAGGTCTTTTCAAACATTCACAAAAGACTGCCACTATACCTGTAAGAAATAACTTTCAGCTGGAAATGTATATTTATTCTAATTGAACAAGATAAAGGTACTCCATCTTCCACTTAGCCAGAAGTCACCTTATCATTGCAAAATTTCTTAAATATCTTCTCTTGGTGCAGATTATTCCAACCACTTGAAGTCAATGGGGCTAAAGCAACAAATGTATTTGCTTGTAAACTTGACCTTTGCACACCATGAAGATTTCCTGAAGGGGTCTATAATAACTGTTAGATGGACAGTGTCCTGTTTAATATTTTTCATGTTATTTAACTACTTTTTATTAGGACTTTATAAGAATTTCCATAACAAAGACACCTTTTTTTTTTTTTTACAAAAATAGATTAAAGTGTATAAAGAATATTTCTGCAAAGAATACTTTGCAGAAATATTTTTTTTATTGAGCTCCACCAGCTCCACTCGTTCAGACTGAAACTTTTGTCTGATCTGTGAAAAAAAGAGTATTGGATTCCCAGTCAGATGTAGCATGTCTGTTAGAATAATTGATGCAGCATTTACTGCATATTGTTTACCTGTAGCAAAATGAATCAAAGATTTCCTGAAGACAGAAATAAGGCAGTAAAAAAAATCCAATGATCAAATATTGACTCCTTGGAATACTTTTCCAAAGAATGTTGTTTTTTTTAATAAATACATAGTTGTAATTTTGTATTTAAACCATGCCAAATGCACAGTGTATTAATCCTGGGATCAATCCCTGGCCAGTGCATCTATACAGCTTCTTTTTCATGTCTATCTTTAGGAAACTGTTTTTCCCAACAGGAACTGTGCGTATTCTTTCCGCCGCAGCACACGATGCATTTTGAAAGTGTTGGCTGATGTGTTCGTGTAGGCCATCATCTGCTTCCGAAGCTCCTTGAACGCCCCCTCTGACACCAGCTGCACCCGCATTGGGCCAATACTGCCTTTTATCCGAAATGACTTGTAGACAGCAGAGTCCTTCTGGAGACAGATGTCCAGCTAGAGGGAATGAGGAATAACAGAGAAAGATTAAGAGATTTTTCTTTTTTTAAAGAATAAATCACAAAAACCACTGGAATTAGTCTCACCTTATATCTCTGTTCCTCTGTTAGATTTCTCACCCCTTTAAGCTCAATAAACACTTGATAATGAGGGTCTGAGCCTCCTATTGAATCACCTGTAGTGCAACAGTAAATTAATACATAGTTTTAAAACTATTACATGAAAAAAATAAAGAATAAAAACCTAGCAGCTTTACCCAAGATGCCACTCTCTGCACAAGAGTAGTCCACCAGCTGAGCTCCGGGCCACTGAGCAACGGCTTTCTTCAACGCCCCGAGGAACAACGCCTCAGAGACTTTCTCACCTCGAACGTTCAGCATCTGACCCCGTCTGACAGCAAACAGAAGCAAAGAATGAAAATAAAGTGGTCTTTTTATAAACAGGGCATTAAATCAAGGGTTAAGCTTTCAAACCTGTACTGAAACTCCACAATGGGACAATGGTTATGAAATCCAGTGACTTTCACAATATCTCCAATACGATATCTGAAACACAGAAATGATCCGTTAAAACAGATGATTATTTATTGCATTTTAATAGATCATAACATTTCCTGATAAACTCCATGATTAAATTATCCTTATAGTGATTTATTTTCAGTAGAGTGAAACCGTATTTCAATGTGACTTATGCCTAAAAAGCAATAAGAAATCATGATATCTTCTCATTTATTGCAGACAGATAAATTATGACATTTAAAATGTATTATTTACACCAAAAGTTCTCAACCTTCTTTAAGTCAATGCCCTGCTTACGTTGCATGATCCCCATAAAAAATAAAATACCCTCAAAAAATGATAGCTGTATTTTTCCCTAGAAAACTTTTTTTTACCGGTGAGCAAATCTGACTATTAAACAGCAAATTAAAGGATTGGTTTTAAGCACTGCCTCCAAAATGTATGTTTTGAGACATATAATAGGTCATGTTTGTACATTACTTAACTAGAGAAACCAGTGACCAACTCTGAAATTTTATTTTAGCTATTATGTGACCCTGAGCCCTTGAGTTACAACCAAGATTTTTCTGGAAAGAGCTGTGAAATAGAATTTAAGTCTGTTTCTACTGATAGAGTTCTTTCAGGAATAGAAACGGTTCATATATTTTTATATGAACGTGCCTTTAGCTGACAGATCGACCCACTCAGAGCAGTAATTATACCAAAATTGTTGAAAAAAAAAAATATATATATATTAGGGATGCACGATTTTGGGATTTTGGCCGATATCCGATATGCCGATATTTTAAAACTCATGTAGCCGATAACCGATATCAATACCGATTTGAAAAATAATATACTCAAATATATTTTCATATGCTGATATCAAATTGATTTTTAAAATCATGGTATCGATCTATTTTACTTTCAAAATCTCGTGAAATTTCATCGTTCTGTTACAAACTCTGGAGATATTTTGCAAATTCTTGTGAGATTTTTTTAGTAAAATAGATCGATACCGCGTCAATATATCAACATATACAAATTTTGTGAATTTTCGGGGGATTTCGTAGCATAATGATGACATATAGCAATATTTCATTAGTAAAAGAGATTGATATGGTGTTTTTATATGGCAATATATCAGCATATGAAGATATTGTGATATTTTAATGTATCAATATTTTTTCCCTCGTCTTTAGAAGTTTTTAAATCTGTAAAAAATACGTTTTTGAGGAAGAAGAAGAAGTAGTATTTTTTTTTTTTTTTTTTTAGACTTTAGAAACTCAGAAGCTGATCAAATATCGGGTAAAATATCGGTGGGGTGGCCGATGTCCGATACTCAGTTTTAAGGCCGATACCGATAGGGGGCCGATTATATTGTGCATCCCTAATATATATATATATATATATATATATATATATATATACATTTTGCATTTAAGATGATAATCTTTTTTGTCTGTCAATATACTCCATCCAGAAGTTTTAGTTTCACTTGGTTTAATTTCGCTAAAAGTCTTCTTTAAGGAACCTTTGGCTATCTGATTATTAATCGATTAATCGAAAAGATAATAAACAGCAGATTAATTGATTTAGCTAAATAGTCGTTAGCTACAGCCCTACATATAGCATAAAAGTTGTGTCCCCCATTTTTTTGTTTGTTAGTAAAGTAAAATCTAACCTGAAAAGCCCAGAAGCGTTGGTGATAACAAGCTCGTAGCTTTCACCTTCCTTCACCTCCTCCATCAGTAATGTTTGAGGATTCTCCTCATCCAGGCTGTTTTCTGGCAGGAACTCGCAGAACATGGAGCGTGGACAAAGCAGGTAACGTCTGCTCTCCTCCTGAGGCCACAGGTTTACTCCTATCAGACCTACAGGAGGCCACAGAGAGATGAATGCTGGCCTCACTTAGTCAACGCTACAAAACATTTCAACTGCTGTCAGTTGCAATGACGATTGCTAATCAATAAATTGCTATATTGTAATAAAACTGTTGGTACCTTCTGTAGCAGCATAGAAGGGGGAATAGAAAGGGACTCCTTTGCAGTAATGCTCCCTCAACATTTCACCATAGATTTGATTGGAGCCTGAATCCACTGCCAGAACCAGGTTAAGGTGAGGCCACAGCCGCAGGGCGATCCCCTCAAAACCCTCCTGGAAGTGAGCCCGAAGCTGACCAGCCCTCTCTGCATCTGGTTTCATTAGACCTTCGAGTCTTGTCCTCACTTTGGGCTCCAGAGACAAGGCGCTGCTGATTGTCCCACGCTCAATGTCCTCTACCAGCTCCTGCCAGCGATCCTGTAAGGATGAATGCAATATAAATAAAATCATGATTATTTTATTAATGGTTATATTTAGATTTATAACAGTTTAATCATCCAACAAAAAAGGTTATGTGCCAAAGTGGAGGCTTACCTTTCAGGAGCACATTAACCTTAATGTACAGGCTGAGCTAATCTGACTGACTTCTACATTGAAAGATAAACTAGCAAACTTTAACATGTCTAAATGTCCAAAACTGTAACAAAAGTGGATGTAACTTCACAAACTGTACAAGGAGCTGTGAAAACCTCTGCAAGACGATGTACAAATAGCCAGTTGAGCCAATAAAGCTCAATATAGATTCTAATAAATATTTAACATGCACCTGAAGGGCGGTGAAAGCATAGAAGACTGTAGAAGCAAAGTTGGACTCCAAGGTTCCCACACTGGGGTCTTTCAGTGCAAACAGAAGATGCAGATATAAAGTGTCCCTCTCACTGGGAACCTGATAGGGCAAAGAATATTTTCATTAAAACAACAAAAAAGAGGCTTCAGCACCTGTTTTAGCCTGTGATTTTACCTCAAAGGCAGGAGCAGGAGTGGTGTAGAGGTTGAGCATGTGTCGTGAAGAGGCTGGAGTGGAAGAGTTTGGTCCGATGGGAATGCCGGCCTCTGACTGACGAAATGTGGGGGTGTAGAAGAATTTGGTGGTGCGCTGAAGGCTGTCAGACTCAGGGAAAGCCTTCCGCATAGCTTCTAAACAAACAGCCACCCCCTAACACAAAACGACATATTTAAGTTTACATATAAAAGACACAAGATGAGAACAGAGAAAGACGCTGGTTTGAAAAAGCCTGACCTGCAGGAAGAACTCTGTGTTTGTGTCCTTGGTGCTCAAAAGCATAGCGCTGGGTCCTGATGTCCCAGATGTCATGGCCAGAATAAGGGGCTTCTCAGCAATAATGACCCTTTCTTCTCCAGCTGCAATGAGTTCAATAAGCTCTCGATAGTGGCTGTACGTGGTGAGGGGGTGACGCGCTCGGAAGCCAGCAGCGTCTGACGAAGGAGCAATAAACACAAATGACTTGAAAAACAACTAATAAAAAAATATTTCTGGTTCAAATCTTTAATCTAAACATTACCAGGTTACTTTATTGACAAGTTCGGCGTCAAAAAACGTCTGTGTCATTCAAAAAAGACAATTAAATCAGAGCCTTACACATTTTTATAACATAAATTTTTTTTTCAATGTATTTTGTTTGTTATAATCATAACACATGTAAAAAAAAATAAAGGAAAATTATATTAACTGAAAAAAGGTATATGGTTTAAAAAAGATTTTAAAAAATCTATTATTAAATCAAGCATACATCATTATCATGTGTACTTAGACTTACTTAGAGTTAGACAACCTTTAAAATATAAAACACAATATTTACCACTAATTAAAGCTACGAGAGTTTTTTTTTTTTTTTTTCTGGTATGTCTCTAATTGGCAGTTCTAGACCAAGGCCAGCTCTGTGATTGGATGCCCTCTGGACTCAATGCAGTAGGTGGGAAACAAAAGGATCTTAACTAAATTAACATCTCTGCTGGATAATGTTTCCCACCTCATGCATGAAGCTGTGCAGAACTGGAGAGCTCCTTCAGGGACAGACTGCTGCTCCTTAAATGCACCAGGAAGCATTATCACAGATCCTTCCTCCAAGCAGCTGTAAGAATCTATAACCACTACTGTTGCCAATAACCTCAATAAGTTGTTACATTCATGCTGATTTTTGCACAGTTTCTACCTTAGTCAGTTTAATAACATCCTGCTGTCATTTTGCACATTGCTGATGTTGCTGCTATTTTCAAATATCCATTACTGTAAAAATGTCCATAGCTGGATATTGGTTATTTATTCTCCTGGTGCATAATATTTATTTTATAAAAACACTTTACAGTACAGTATTTGATGGTTTATCTTATAAATCTAACTCTTCACTACTATGTTATTCTTATACATTTTTCTAAAATCTTTTTGCTGCTGTAAACACCAGAATATCCCCATTGTGGGACAATATAGGGATTTTTTTTTCTATTCTAAATCTACCAAGGGTCCGTTTCACTAAGCAGGTTAAACAAACTCAGATTTAAATCTTAAAACTCTGAATTGATCTAGCCTAGCTTTTGAAACTGTGAATTTTCAGTTTCCCAAAGGCTGTTGTGAATTTGTTTAATCAACTCTGAGTATGTGCACTCAGACTTGAGCACGTGCGTAACAAGAATAAAATTTCTTTATCAGTGGAGCCCTGATTCGATGAGTCACCATGACAACAGGCAACAGGGAGTAAAAAGTGAAAAAACCTAATTGGAGAATGTCTTTAAAAGACAGAGCTACAGTTCTACAGCTGCAAAGGAGAGGAAGATGGTGAAGGAGAAGATTGCTGCTATGGTTCTAATTGAAGTACAGGCCGGTATTTATTAATTTTTTTGCCAGGCCATTTTAACATTTATTAGAAGCACCCTCCTCTCTTTTGTAGATCACTAAAATAAGATTCGTCCTGGTCAAAAATCCCACACCTAGACTGAACTATAATAATAGATTTTCTAAATGACATTTTTGCAGAAAAAACAATAAAATTATACTAATAAGAATTTGTAAGAATTACCTAGAAAGGTTTACACATTCTAAGGGGTAATTTTCATATTTATCAGCTTGACTGAATTTATGACATGTGGAAAACATTTTTTTATCGTCAAAATAATAAAAATAATGACCTGTAACTAAATAAATAAATGCCATTCGAGCTTAATGGCAATCTCTACAGTCACCTCAACAAATGCAAACCCATTCCTATATAACTATAAATAGCAATTTCTAAGGCAAGAAAAACAAAAAGATTTAGACTTCCAGTTCACAGGTGATAATAAATAACACCTATAGATAATTAGTTACATTGATGTCTAGCCTGACAAACCAGACTAAATGTGTAGTCTGGCCCCTATAAATGAGACATCAGAAGATTGTTGATGAGAACAACCTGTTGTTTTTCAAACAATGTCTGTGCCCATTGGCCAACGCTCTGACCAATGAGCGCCACTGACTGTGACGTAGTAAGTGCGACAGGAAGCTGGTGGGGGAGTGTGAACAAACAGCCTGTTGGTAAACCGGCGAATACGTCCTTCTCAAAAAAATGAATGAGGGTAGAGCCTCTTACTGCTCACGTTTCAACGAAAAACCCAAGTTCAATCCTTCCAAAACTGATTCCAAAATGGAGTCAAAAATCCCCATCAGAGCTGGCTGCTGGAGGCGGGCTGCGGTTAGCCCTGGCAGCCATTAGCCTTGGAGCTCCGCTGGTTGCTGCGGCCCTCTCAACTTCGGAAATGTTTTTTTTTATTTTTATTTTTTATTATGCATTAAATCTGTAAATGACCATATAATGACGCTTTAAAGTAAAATATTCTCGCCTCAAATGATCCTAAAACTTACTTTTATTGAACAACAGCAACAGAAAAGAGAACTTTTAACTTTCAATGGAGCGCTCCATTGAAAGCTGTTGCTGCCGCAGTGCGTCCTGCTGTTCAATAGCTATGGCCATCTTCCTTGTTGTGCTTTTTCCAGCATCGCACAGCTTTGTCGTCACGCCCTCAAAACCCCGCCCGCTTTGCATCCAGAAATTCAAAACACATCTGTGTTGTGATTGGCCCGCCATATTTAGGGCCTGGGGCATTGATTGAGGCTTACAGAGGAGGATTAGGGACACTGAAAAAATAAAAAAAAGTTGACTGATTTTTACATTTTATTTCAGTTTAATATGGGAAAAAAGTCAAAATTCTGACTTTAATCTCAGAATTATGACTTTAATCTCAGAATTGTGGATATTAGTGTAGATGGGCACCATGAAGGAAAGATGTGGGAGAGCTCAGCTTCACTGACAAAGATGTGAGTTGTTTGGGAGGGACAGAAATACATTGGTGGAAAATGACGGAATTAGGCAACTTTTTACGTGCCCGAGGGGTCCCCGGTGATGCTACTTCATTAATGGAAGAGCAGAAGGTGATTAAACCAAGAGAGTTTATCTCTAAAACAGACATGGCTACAGCTTGATGCTAACATGTTTGTTAAATTCTGAAAAAAGTCAGAGTTCTGAGATTAAAGTTAGAATTCTGACTTTTTCATCATATTATACTGAAATAAAATTTAAAAATCAGTTAACTTTTTTTATTTTCTTCAGTGGCCCTAGTTTACTAGGCTAATTGCCCTATTACACACTGAACCTTTAAAATTTTTGTCAACATAAAATACTAGAAAATGTCAATATTGTGTCACTCAGGTCCACTTTTAACACAAATTGTCAAGTATTATAATACATTTTTATTTAATTAGCACCCTGTCATGCAGAGGGAGATTTGTTTGCTCAGGGAGATGTTATTATCTTTCTATACCCTATGCTCATCTAACCCAACTTTAAACATATTCCCTGCCCTGTCAGCTCCCTTTGTCTTTTGATGCTGTTTGTTCAAAAATATTGTAAAGCAACCCTCTAAAGCTTCTAACAGGTCTAATAACACAAAGGGCAACTCTTTTTAGGTGACTAATAAAGACAGCTGGATGCAAAGCATTGTATTTAGGGGTATTTGGAAAGAACCCGATTTATGTCAATCTATCACATAAAATCCCAATAAAATAAATAAACATAGAAGTTTGTACGTGTTGTATAATATAACTGTGGCTTATATGTTTGATTTTGGAAAGGCACTGCATGCACAGCCTTTGCAGCCTCAACCATAACGTTACCAAAAACTACTGGTAAAACATCCAGAAGATCTCTGTTATCCCACTTTTTTGCGTTTACCGTTTATTGAGCGGAAGTCGTACTTTCTTCCATAGAAAGTATCCGCATTTTTACGCAGTCTCTTCAGTAGAGTCTCCTCCTGGACCTCCGTCACCTTCAGCGTATCTGCTTCCAGTTTCTTTCGCTGTCGCCTGCCGAGCCAACCCACAGCCTTCACCGCCACATATTGGCTTAACAGACTGCCAAACGTCCGCTTGTCTCCCTTCACCTTGGAGCTAATGTCCCTCCAAAGGAGCGCCATCCCGGCCAGAGAGAGGACGCCGACCGCAGCGGGTAAAGGCGGCGGCATGGCTGTGAAAGAAAAGCCGGAGTTACAAAAGAAACACTGGTGTTATACAAGTATACGCCAGCAAGGGGCGCTGTTGGTCCACTTTACACCGCAACATGTTTCCCTTGCGTTTTAGGAGAAAGCTGGAATTCAGTTATAATGGCTCCATAGCCACGAATCGACTTTATCATCATTATTTTCATAATTTACTACCACCTGGTAGAGGAAACTCACCCAACGTTTGTCTGTTAATGCTGACAGCTATGGATAAAACCGCAAAACAAAGCGGAACTGCGACGCCAATCCACGAACAACCCATTTATAACAGGAAAAAAGGCTCCGAAACTCTTATTTTTTTTCACGATGTAAACAAAAACAACGTTTATTTTGCATCTGTTTGCAGGAAGTGGGAACTTTGACGTCCACTAGAAGCAATGAACAGCTTCCGTGTTTGGCTGATGTTCGCCTCGCTGACTGGTTAACGCTTTAACTCAATCGTTTCGCACAGCCAATGAAAAATATCAATAGGAACTAATAAAAATGTGCTGTGGTTTGTGATCGAAATCTGTTTACTGCTCAAATAAACACATTACATTACAATTGGTTCTAGTTCAAATGTAGATACATTTATGGTACTATTGGAAAAAAAATGAACGATTAATAATAAAAAATGTTGTCAGAAGTGGGATTCGAACCCACGCCTCCAGGGGAGACTACGACCTGAACGTAGCGCCTTAGACCGCTCGGCCATCCTGACGACATGAGCAAACAGACGTGATATTCGACACCTGCCATAAAAGCCCCCTGAGCTTTGTTTAAATGTCTTTATATAATTAATATAACAACAAGTAGCTCCGTTGGTCATATTACAATCCGTTTTCCTGGTCGATATGCAGTTGTACAGAGCGAGGCGCGCTCCCGCGACTGGGGATGCATATCTCGTCAGGCCTGCACCTTTCGGCATAACACCTGCCATAAGCACGAGAAGAATGATGGAATTGAATTATAACAGGGTTTATACAGGAGGGAGTACGGGTGGAACGGTTCACAAAATCCACGGTTCAGTTCACGGTTTCGTGGTCACGGTTTTCGGTTCGGTTTGGTATATGTTGATTGTTACACCGAAATCCCATAAAAATTAATGAAAAAATCCAAAAGTAATTATTTTTAATGATCCGCAGAAACCCTGGATCATTTCTGCATGTATTGCTGCTTGGAATTTAATCATCTCGCGCATGCCCTCTACGAACTCCAAGGAACTGGAGATCACAAGGAACTGGAGCCACAGCAGAGGCTGTAGGCTTTGGTTTGAGCAGGAGGTCTGGAGCGCAGCGGAGCGGAGCGCTGACGGAGTATGTGGGATTTCGGGGTTAGCATGACATGTTGGTCATGTTGCTGTTAGCATAAACAAAACGTGTTGCACAATGCTTGCACACTGTTGCACTTTTATCCACAACTTTTTTTCCGCCGTCATCGTAGGTCACTCTAAATGAAAATCGGCCCCATACAACAGACATATAAAGTGCTGCTGGCGCGTCTTACAACTCCTGTTCT